TTGCTCGAGGAATTGAGTATTTACATCGAGGATGTGATATGCAAATTCTACACTTTGATATCAAACCTCACAATATCCTTCTTGATGAAAATTTTAATCCAAAGATTTCGGATTTCGGATTAGCTAAGTTGTATCCATTAGATAATAGTATTGTGTCTCTGACAAATGCAAGAGGAACATTTGGATACATGGCTCCTGAATTCTTGTACAAGAACATTGGAGGAATATCACACAAAGCTGATGTTTATAGTTTTGGGATGCTACTGATGGAAATGGCTGGCAGAAGGAAGAACTCAAATGTCATTGAGCATTCCTGGCAGACCTATTTTGCTAAATGGGTTTATGATCAATTTGAGGAATCAATAGAGGGGAGCAATATCTCAGATGAGGAAAGAGGAATTGCAAAGAAGATGATCATAATAGCTTCACATTGCATACAGATGTATCCTAATGATCGACCCTCGATGAAGAATGTGTTAGAGATGCTTGAGGGAGAAATGGAGCTTCAAGAGGCTCTTCCTCCCTAAATTTATGTAACTGGAGAGAGATTTCAGAAGAAAATGTTGTTGTTACTGATAGTTCGCGTTTCTATTAAGCTACTTGCAAATAAGTAAAACTAGTATTATGGTCAGTATCTTTAATGTTTTCTGAAATACTCTGATTTATTGGATTACATGTAGGTTATTGTTGGAAGAAAGCTGTTGTCCTGGTAAATAATGAAATTTTTATGTTGCCACGTTTTTACATGCTCTTTTATGACATAGCTATTTCTTCAGTATATGGAAATTTAAATTAACAAGTTTCTCTACAGTTATTATTTTAAAAAGAATTTGCTGCTTGGTGGAATTCTAATTTGTAGTTTATACAACTTGCATGATGATATAAGGAATCCAGTGGATTTGAATGGAAAAAACGAGTTAGGAAGATAAAACTAAGTTTCAAATTTAATATTACATATATAATCACTGTCACTCTTTCCTAGAAACTGCTTGGTCCATCTTTCTTATCACTTTGTTGAAAGTTTGTCGCCAATAATGAATCCAGTGGTAGGGAAGCACATCAATTGTGGTTGACCTGGAGTCAATATAATAATTTGGCTTTTTAAAAAAATTAATTTCCATCTTCTTATGGTTCCATCCAATCAATCGTTACCGGAACATCAATTCTTGCCGACAATATGTGGAATAGTATAATCTGACTAAACAAATTTCAGAAGTATAATATATATATATATATATATATATTTCATTTTAATAAAAATGAGAAATTAAATAGAAGCAAGCAAAATTTGCTGAAAAGTTACGTATTTGAGAAGATTTTGATTAAAATGGCTTGAATTCAGGAGGCATAACTCATCTTCAACATATGAGTGCAATTTTTCTTCAGCCATATGCAATACCTATTTCTTTTGTACTTATTAAAGAGTTGTAATGAGTTGCACCTATATCTTTAAATAATTTCTAATACTTTTGGTTACTTCTCACCAATTTTTCCTAGAAACCATTGCAAATGTAGTTTTCTTGTAATTAATATTTGTTGGATTATATAAATTCAATTTTTTGTTTCTATTTAATTTATAGTCCTTAATTATATATATAGTTCTAGAATGAAGCAAAACATGCTCTTCATCTTCGTTGAAAATTCTCGCGGCATTTATTAATGCGTGATGGTAGTGGAATTGCACAAGGCATTGACTCCAAGTCAACTGTTATTAATAATATCTTTAATCATCAATGCCTGAGTGGCAGCCACCTAAAATCTGTCCTAGTCGAGCTTTATATAAATGTATAGAATTGAATTAGGAAAATTTTCAAAAGTTGGAAAGCGACTATATTCTGTCTTAAAAGTTTTTACAATAAAACTCTCATAAAGTCCATGAAGACTTCAAGAACGATTTTTTATTGGCCACTATTTTTTTAGAAATTCTTTACTGTAAAATTCTAATACAAATTCATAAAAAAGTAAAAGTGAATCTCATTTCTATTTTTTTTGTTACTCTTACCATTGTCTCCCACATCTCAACAACCCTTTCTGTAGAGATTTAAATATTAAGCTTTCTTTGTGGTTATACATTTCGAGAAGAATTTCGGTTATATTTGACATAATTTGAGTTCCTCAACATAGATAGTCCAAGCTTCAAAAAATGAGTTCATGAAGAGTGAGCCAAGCTTCAGAATAGGGAAGCCATTCGCATATATGTAGGCCTCTGCAGTAGTTTCTCTTCTAACCATTTTATTCAAAAGGATATAATTCTTCAAAGAACTTAGATTATGATATATAGCTTCAGTGAACCATGTAGTTAGGAAATACTGGACAACAGTTTTCTCAAGTTGGTTATAGCCACTGGCAAAAACGTAGACTTACATATTTATAATTGTTTAGAAATTCTTTCATGGATAACTATCTGTGATCCTATTTTGAACTTTATACACAAGAAGGAAAGACTACCAAGCTAAACACAAATTTATATCTAACACAGCTCATTATAACCATCTCAACTTCACTCTATTTCTGAAATGGTAGATAACTCTGGTTGCAATCGCCTTACTCCATTAGCAGCTCTTGTTCTAATTGCATATGAAGAACCAAAAGGATTAGGAGGCATGATTAGCTTTTCATCGTCCCCTTCCAGCATTTGAACCACATTTTTCATGGTTGGACGGTTTGCTGGATGCCACTGAATGCACCAAAGTCCAATAATGGATAGCTTCCTTGCAATTTTAGTGTCCTCCTCTCCTTCCACATGGATTTGTATGTCTTCATTGTTCTCTAGAAGATTATAAATCCATTGTGGGTAGTAAACTTGCTCGCCATTTCTTCTGTGACATCTGTGATTTTCCTTCCTCCAACCATTTCAAGCAGTAACATTCCATAGCTATAAACATCTGATTTATAAGACACATTGCCAAAGTTCCGAGAAAATATTTCCGGTGCAATATAGCCCAAAGTGCCCCTAGCTGTTGTCATTGACACAATGCTTTGATCCTTAGAACAGAGTTTGGCCAAACCGAAATTAGATATTTTTGGAGTGAATTTGTCATCTAACAGAATGTTGTGAGGTTTGATATCAAAGTGGAGGATCCGTTTGTCACAATCTTCATGAAGATACTCAATTCCTTTGGCTATGCCCAAAGCAATATCTTGAAGCTTTTCCCAACCCAGGAAAATATCCTTTCTATCAGCTGAAGTTATGAATTTTTTGCAATGAACCATTGGGTAAAAATTCATAAACCAAAGCTCGTTTGAAACCATCCGCACAGTAGCCAACCAAGCGAGCCACATTGACATGGTGAATTTGACACATGGTCTCCATTTCATTGATGAACTCTTGTCCATTCCCAGTTGAAGTGTTGAGAAGCTTGATAGCCACCAGAATCTCATTAGATAGCTTCCCTTTAAAGACAGTTCCGTAAGCTCCTTGTCCAAGTTCATCCTTGAACTGATTAGTGATCCTCTTTATATCTGCATACGAGTATCTAGCGGCCTAAGTGCTTTGTAATCCTCCAAAAACAGTTTAATTTTTTTGTAACCCTGCCTCTCTAGGCTAGCTACAGTAACCCAATAAACAACAAACCCAACAAACATGAGCAGGAACGGGCCTAGGATTTCACCTGCAAATACAGCGTCATGTACAAAACGTATATAAATTGATTTGGGAACTTTTGTCTTTAATTTATATGTGAAATGATGAACTGTTGGCTGAAGAATCCTTACCAGTGAGTACTATCTTTTTTGATGGACCTGCTAAAATAAACTTTATATCAGCTTCACATAGATTTTATACTCTCTTTATGAAGGTATTATAATCGAGAAAAAAAACTATAACTGTATGAGGGTTTTGGAAACATTCAGGTTCACGTTCAACTTTGTTTTCTGTCAATCTACACTGCCCTCCATCTTCTTCACACTTTCTGCAATCTGGTTCGAGCCAAGACAGATATATAGGCTCATTGTAATAGTAAAACGAATTAGGCATGATGCATAACCAGGAATTCTCGTGCATGATAGAAGAGGATAGTCTATGATTTCTGCTGAATATGGTATAGCTAAAACTCATAGCCAGCAACATCGAGGCAAGAAAAGTTCCCCCATTGCTGAAATTCTGAATCTCTACGAGACGTCCCTGAGCAATTGAATAACACATTTGGCTTGATTCATCATAATCATTTGAACGAAAAGGAGATGCAGATAAATTGAGATGAGCAAGGCATCCATCAGGCTCTGACACGGCAAAGAATTGCTTTTTATAGTCTACGTCTTGTATGATAACCTGACTGAGAAAGGCAGCTCGAGCACTGTCTGGTTTGTTTCAGTACAGTAAAGGTCAAAGCCAGATTATACGCACACCATTCTGGCTGTTTTCCTTTGAGCCTAAAGGGGAACCGGACGTCTGGTCCATCAAGGCTGCACCTTGTTACTTTGCATGGATCGTGGATGTTTGGTTCGGCAAAAATATTTAAGAAGCAGAAGAATAAGAACAGGGTTGCGAATCGGCTGGGCTGTTTCATTGTTCGCAATGCCAATACTTGAAATCTAAGATGCAATTTTGTGTGAGTTTGAACAATAAAAATGGGAAGCAACCAGCCTCTTGGTATTTTGGAGGAACCATCGCTCCGGTTTACTGGAACTTTCCACGAAAAATAGGAATGAAGCCAAGTTTCAAACTTTTCATTGTCTTTGCTTCCTCAGTATAGGCCCGCACATGCATTTCATTTATTTCTTGGTCGGTCGTTTGGGAGTTATCTCCGACTCTGAAGGCACCCATAAGTTTTGTCGTTATGTCGAGCTGTCTCGTGTTTGAATGGGTTAGCCGTCCTGAACTATATTGTGCTTCATCCAAATGTTATTTTCTTTAAGTCAAGCCGCCTGAATGTTTCAAAACTTGGAATAAATATATGTGGTTGTCTCGATCCATCACCTCTGCTTGTTTCTTCCTGCTCTGATCCTTCACATGATAAACCTAATCTTAATCATCTTCTTTGCCTTCGTTTTGGAAGGTTCATATCTTCCTAGTTTACCACTCTTTGTCGAAACATTTAGTGAATCCTGCGGATATGTGTTCAACGTCTCCACAGATACAAATCTTTATTCCAGCAATTGCAGCGATGGAAATCTAAGACACAATTTGTGTGAGTTTGAAAGATAGGAATGGGAAGCAACCACCCTCTTGATATTTTGGAGGAACCATTGCTCCTATTTACTGGAAAATTTCCACCAAAAATGGGAATGAAACCAAATTTCAAACCTTTCATTGTCTTTGTTTCCTCAGCATAGGTCCCCTGGCATTCATTGGTTGGTCGTTTGGTAGTTATCTTTGACAATGAAGGCACCCATGAATTTTGTCGTCAAACTGTCATAATTTTTTTTTGAATTAGCCACCTAACTCCTATTAATAAGTTGTCTCATAATTGAATTCCTTACACAAATTCTCAAGACTTTTTGTATTGCTTACTCCCAAACCTTCACTTCATGAATTATAATTTATTATATTATGTTCCCTCTCCTCTTTAGCTTCTTCCTCCTATAATTTAAGACAAAATTACACGAAAAAAATTACTTTAAGTTATGACAAAAATATTTTATAGTGTGGAATGTATCAACCTTTTGAAAATTAATGACAGAAACAAAATAACTCCTAAAAAAATACTTTAGGAGCAAAATTGAATGATAAAATACTTCAAGCACTTGGGGGAAAAATGCTGTATAATGTTGGATGAATTAAAAAGAGCCTCATTAACAATTGAAGATAAAAATAACAAAATAATGTAGATCAGAAAATTACTTAAAATTGGTGAAAAGCACTAAAACCTTAGGCACTTACTCCCCTATTGTCTTTAATATAAGATTTACTTAATTGATTTAAGTAGGTTAAGAAAGTTAGATAAATTAGTTAATTATAACAAGTGTGGCATAATCTCTTTAAAATATCCCTATTTAATATTAAATTATATATTAGTTTATAAATTAGATAAATTAATTTGAAGAAATCAAAAAATGATAAACATAAGAAACACAGTGAGTGAAAATTTCAGACATCCTTTTAGGTGTATCTTTCAGACATCCTTTTAGGTGTATCTTATAAATGAGATCATGTCAACTCACCATCACAAGTGTATTTTAATGGAAAATTTTAAATTTTAAGGCATGATTAAAAGAATAAACTAACTTTCTTGAACTGTCTGAGTTGATTGAAATTATATTTGAAGATGGAAGGAGTATAGAATTAACTTCCAAGAAATTGATCAATTCATGAACGCAATCAATGCGAGTTAGACTTTTCAAGGTTATAAGAAAAGGGGCAAAAAGAAACTACTGGTTGTTCACACGTCTTTAAATTGTTAATTGGCACATAGCATTGACTCCAAAGTGATCTATCATCGAAGCGTCATCTATGCTTTTGAGAGCTATCACCGCCTTGTAGACACCTTTCCCAGATCCTTCACAATGATAACGCAAACCGTCATCTTCCTTACCCTTCTTATTTCTTTTTATTTCCTAGTGTTTGGTTTCTCACCAAAACCAGATTTTGCTCGTGTGCAACATCTTAGGTATAGATATTTCTATAATCGCAATAGCAAAGTGATCAGCGATCCGAGTTACGAACTAGTCTGTGACAAGAACAAAAGCGTGTTATATCTGAACTATGGGAGGCAGCTAGTAGAGGCCATTTATGCCACTAACTCTACCACCACTCTCCAATCCATCACTGCTGGAAATGACATCAACAACTGCTCCGCTATCACTCGTACATACGACAACTTCACCCACGTTTTCTCATCAGCAAAAGAGATGGAACTGAGCGATAAAAATTATCGTTTTTTGTGGGTGAAGTAGTGTTTGTCAGCTGCAAAAATCCAGTTCTCTCTCCTCTGAATGAGAATATTGTGGCGCTTTGTTCTGCTGAAGAGCCAGAAGCGCAATATTCTTATATGCTGAAGCATTATCCAAGGCATCTGATGTGGGAGAGTCCTGCAAAATAGATTTGATGGTGAAAATGGTGCCATGGGGACCGATGACATGTAATGAGAAATGCTCATATCAGAAACTTGAGAGTGAAGTGGTAAAGGGGATTCACATCAAATGGCGTGCTGATCGTTGTGGAGTGGCGAACGGAGGGGAACCTAATTGCTGGCTAGAAAATGCCACTAATATGATTCTCTGTCATCAGGATGCAGGACATCCTATTTCTGCAATGTTAATGGGTGAGCTTCGCGGATAGTTATCTCCGTATTCTAATGAAGAAAAGTAATTATTGTCATCGTTGTCATACTGAAATTAATTATATTTTTAATCTGAATTTTGACAATGCAGAATCCTCTTTGTATTACTCGATTACAGGTATGTGCCAATCAAAGTTTTCTCCTTGCAGAGAATTTTCTAGTTCTCCCCCCCCCCCCCATTTGTTTAGGCAATTTAACGCACACCTCTCTCTGTCATAGGGGAGGGAACCACACACCCATCGCATCTATCCCTCTTTTAACATGTAATATAGAACCCATAACCTCCTTTATGAGAGGAGGTGGGAGGTACTTGTGAGTTAGGCTTCGATAGATGGTCGAAACTTTGTGAACCGACCAATTGTGGTGTGGATAAAAAAAGTTTTCCTTTCTGGTAAAACAAACAGAGAATGTTTAAGCTCTTATATTAGGAACAAGAAGGAGTAAGTAACTACTTTAAGATCCAAGAAACAAATTTTTAAGGTGCTAATCTTACAAGGACATTAAAAAGACAAGTCTTATCAGTTAGACATATAAATACAAACGTATGAATCTAGTTTATTTAGGATGCAATGCATTCTTACTCTTATGCTGTGATCACTACCTAATTCAGGTCTCAGTCATTCTATTTATAAATCTTTTAGTTTTAAATTAACCCCTCAATCCATGTAATCTCACCAATTTCCAGTAAGTCCATGTAGTTTCCCCTTTCTATCAGGAACTCATAATTTCCTCAGTTACAGCTATATTTCCTCTCCTTTTTATTATATCCCTATTGTCATTGATCCTGTGGACTGTGGTATTAATTTTAGATTGTAATAACGTTACTGGCTGTTGAGATGGTTGACAGATTATGATCAGGCTCTGACTCCGCATGTACTTGTATTAAAATTGCCATATAGTCTAAACCCCTGACCAAAGCTTTCTCTTATAATTAATGACCAAAAATTCACATGCCTGCAAAATTTTTATCAATGTAAGATCTCTTTATTCCTTAAGTTTTTCTTCTGACCATTTATCTATTCCAAATTGTTTGATACCAGATAGAGAATGCAATTCATCACTTGCATTTAACATTCAAAAGTAAATTATGGTTTTACTAAAGCACAACTGCAGGTATATAAATGGGGAACTGACGAGACTTTGCAACTCTAACAGGAGAAAGGAGGAAAGAGAGGGAAGGAGAGAGAGTTGAGAGACGAACAGAAACAAATG